CACACTTACTGCACAAGGTAGCAGTTGAAGCACTACTGTCAGAACCACTGGATCTAGGTTTCTTCCAAGTAGAAACCCCTGATTGAGAAGACTGTGCCATCTGGGAAGGCTTTGACCTGCCCTCCATCTTTCTCTTATGAAAATCCCTCCTTTTCTGAGTTGTCAGCATGTCCATCTCAATCCTTCTGGCTCTTTCCACCAAAGTGGGATAATCCTCAATTCCAAAAGGCACAAGAGGCTGCCTTATCATATCCTTTAACCCATTCAGAAAATGATTGTACTTCTCTTCAGCATTGGATATCAGGTGTGGGGCATACCTGGATAACATTGTAAATTCTGCCTCATACTGAGAAACAGATCGGTCTCCCTGATCTAATCTGTTGAACTTATCCTGTATATGTCTCCTGGCTGTCGCAGGCACATACCAATCTCTGAATGCCTTTATAAACTCCTCCCAGGAAACTTGGCTGCTTTGTCTTCCTCCAAAGGTTTCTTCTAACTGACTCATCCACCACCTCTCAGCCTCGCCATCAAAAGCATAAGCAGTCAGTGTAACTCTCCTGTCCTCTGGGCAAGATATGCCCTCAAGGATCTTCTCAATCCGCATTAGTCAGTTCTCAGCTTCTATAGGTCCACCACTTGAGAACAGTGGAGGCTTCATATCCTGAAACAGCTTCAGGCTCTTATCCATAGGACTGCTTCCACTTCCACTGCCACTGGCCTGATTTTGGGAAGTTCTAATCATCTGAGTCATCGCTTCCATCATCTGAGTGAATGACTCCATACTATTATTCCTCTGAGGTTCAGCTACTTCTGGTAGCTCCCTCCCTTTCTCCATATTAATGCCATCAGTGACAATCTGCTCAGGATCCATACTCCTGAGATAAAACACATCAATCATAAGTTACAAATAATCATAAAATTACACTTCCTACACATTCTAAGACTCAATCAATCATCCTATGGGTTCTTTCATTGATCATTATTAAACATTTGCTCTGATACTACTCTTGTCACGACCCGGCCCGGCTAGCCCGATTATATCGGGGCGGGAACAGTCGGTCGTACAGAAGAGCATAATATATAACATATTTTCATTTAAAACATAAGGTCAGAACATAAATATCATCCCAAAATACATGAAAGAGCCACTAATAAACTTCAAACTCAAATGTTACAAACTGATCAACTGTCTCGTAACCAATAAAACTTTCAAACCCATCATCATAACATAAACTCAAACTCACGAACTACAATGAAACAAACACAAAGACTCAAACTGAAAACACAAAAAGAAACCTTTCATCTTGAGGTCCCCTACGACGATACATATAAGGTCGTCGAGCAGTTATCACTTCTATCCTAAAAAAGATTTTTAAACGAGGAATGAGCCAACACTCAGCAGGTAATTCATAGCTCAGTTAATTTCATAAGATACATAAATTAAACATTTTAAAATTAGAAACTAATTCATAACATCTTACAAGTCAAAATTCTTAAAACTTTCAATCTTATTTTTCTTTAATCATTTCATTAACATTTTATTCCTTTCATAATTATTTTCTGTCATCTTATTCATATGCAATACAGATGCAAAAATGCTTATGTCATATGTATACGCCCGTCCCGAAAGTACCCTTTTTCGTACTGATCTGGTATGCAGTCAAATTTTGGCTATTTTCTTTATCATTTGGCTTTTACAAGCCTCATTACCATTTGGCTTTTATAAGCCCCTTTACCATTACCATTTTGACACTTCCGGATCAACATGCAACATGAAAATTTTATTCCGTTTAAATCTTTTCATTTCCGTTCAATTTCCTTTCATAAGCCTCATATATTTTCATGCCCATATGCTTTCCAACAGTTAATGCAAAAAAATATAAAGACATAAACTTGCAGAATCAATGAATTTAAAACATTAATTAACAATAAAAAATAAATACATGAAATTTCATTAAGCATAAAAATTTTAAAGCACTTATAAACTTAACTGGGATCTGAACACCTACCTCAAACCAAGTACGACACGTCGCTTCGACCAAATTCTTTCACCTTAAACTTTAATGGTCAGAACCTAAACAGTTTACAAAAGAGATGTGTCACATAATTAAAAATCAAATCTTCTAAGTCTAATTGCTAAACGGCATTTTCCCTTAACCATTCCTTATGACATTTAAAGGATAATTAATTAAATAAACCTAAATTTTCGGATTAAATAAATACTAAAATTTTGAAAATTCATAAAACTCTAATTTCATCAAATTATCGCTCCAAACTTAATCGAAACATATAATTATAATTATGTTATAAATTTTCGGATTAAATTAATTAGGAAAAATTAAGAAAATGAAAATTTAGTTTAAAACTTAAAATTTTTCATTAAAAACATTTCCTAAACCCTTAGGAATAATTTTTGTAAAAGCATCTTGAAGGAATTAAATTTTCGTTAAAAACTCTAATTTATAAATCTCAAAAAATTCCTCCAATTTCTTCATTTTTTACCGTTAAAATGTTCTCTTAATCATTCCTTATTAATTCCATAAAGAAATTTTTGAAAGAAAATTAGGTTTTCGAAAAACCATAGAAAATTCTTTTCCAAAAATCTAAAGATTTAATAGGATTCGTTTGAAAATAATCATACCGGAGTATTTCTCTCGTCGTCCTCTTCTATTTGACCTAAAACTCTCGCCGGAAAATTGTCGCCGAAGACACCCTCGCGGAGCCGCCCATCCGTCCACCTCTCCCTGTTCGTCCGCTCGGTTTCACGCGAATGGGGGGAGAAGGTTCGGTTTCTATTAAGAGGAAATGAGTCCAAAATGCCCTTGCTTAAGTAATTCTTATAGTTCATTTGATTAGGGGCAAAGTTGGCATTTAGAGACTTTGATTAATTTTAATTCCTAAAATAGACAAAATTAGGTATGAGTTATATATATCAAAATGATCAGAATTTCGCGTAGGATTTTCTAAAATTATTTTCGTTAAATTCCGTTAACATTGAAAATCTCACTAAAAAATTTCGTCGCGGCGCTTGGAAAAGTGTGCGAGATCTAAAGAGATATTTTCGGGTTTTACAATCCTTCTCCTATAAGTTTAAGGATTTTTTGAATTGGTTCATTGTTATGATTGGTAGGGTATGCATTTTGTCAGTTTGGATAGTTTGGTTTACGAAATAACTGAACTAATCAGTTTTGGTTGCAAAATTTAGAAAATTGAACTGACCAAAGTATTTTTTAAATCATTCTACCAAATCAAATTTTAATTTGGTCAATTGGGTTATGTTTTGTTTGAACTAAAATGTAATTAACTTTAATAATGAACTTAATTATTTTTAGCCTAAATATTATGTTTTAAAAACATATAAAATAATCTTCGCTTAAATTTATGATGCATATGAAATAAATAATGATTAAGTTGATCTTTCATCAACTCATTTATTTAGTGTTCATGGGCTTTTTTAATTTAGTATTTGAAGAGAATTAGTATAATTCAATTGTTAGTTTGGTCCGGTTTTTAAAAGAAAATATCAAACCATTAACCAAAAACAGAAGAATGTCAAAATTACAATTAATAATTGAATTGATATTTAACAGTCAAACCTAACCAACAAAATTAGATCGGTTCAATTCTGTTTTTTATTTTATCCAAACAATGCACACCCTGGTAATTGGAATCCCTTTTAGGTTCATGTGCATAAACTTGATCTATTTTCAAAGAGAACTAATCAATGCACACCTGTTTCAAATTTGAACATAATCAGGGTGCTTGAACTATCCATAAAAAAATCCTGGAGAAGAAATTGGAAGAATGAAAGAAAAAAAAGAGAAATTTTAGGCCGTAGGCCGGTACAAAAAAATATGTTTCCTGATGTTGTCTATCACACGTACACTGTACTCAAAAGAAATCTCACATCATATATGTAAACAAAAGATTAAAAATAAAAATTGCAAAATTTATTGAAAAAAAAAGTGGCCCAAATTACATGCCTCATATGTCTTGTTATAAATTTTTATTTCTTGGTTGGTAGATATGAGCAGCATATAATTAGCCTAATTCAGTTTGAACAAACCCAAAATTTTGGCCTCGGTTCTAATTAAAAGTATAAATAGCAGTGAAAAGAAGATAATCTTCAAAATTTCATTATTTAGAAGTCCTCGGTGTGACAAGCTTATCTATAAAGCTGCAAATAGTGGAGAACCCAAACCATGAGTAAAGCCACGCGAACTCTTATCTAGTGGCAATTTATATTGTAGAACAAAGTAAGTTGAGCCACAAAACGACTAGTAAAGGCAAATCTCATGAGAATCAAAACCCTCTACTACCCTGAACCATCAACCGTGAAGTATATAGTGTTTAACACCTGAATCAAAGATCAGTTGTGAATTGAACTAGACTGAACTTTTGTCAAACCACATTAATCAACCTTTCATTAGGGAATAAAAAAAAAGAGCCTAATAGGTACTTCGTAGGCATGTCCACAAATAACTGGAATTGAAAGATAAAAATTCAAATAAAATAAATTAGAGTTATTAAAATAAACTTGTTAGATCACTTTTTTTATTGATCTTTCTAGTGAGTGTAGACATGAATATATCCAACACTATACAAAACCCAATAACATGCGCCTCTTGAATATGAGATTTAGTAAAAAAGAAAATAATATTTTTGGAATATTTACAATTCTTTTGTTTTTCCATCAGAATGTATTTAACATATTTAATTTATATTTCTTGAAGTATATTGTTCCACAAATTCAGTGTTTAACAACCTTTAGATTGGACTAAATTTCTCAATTTCATTTGCTAACTATTCCAAAATCCTAATGGAGACTTCTTAGTGATTTTAATATGTTTTGTTTATTTTATTGGTATTTACTGGTATACAATTTTGTGCAAATATGCATCTCCTGCATATTGAGATGATTAAATTAAATGTAACTTCTTAGATGAAAATTTTTTGCATACCTGAAAACTTCTATGTTGCTTCTAATATCATTGCAGGTTGCTTCAGGGCGTTTTGGTGTCACTCCAACTTTTTTAGCCAATGCTGACCAGTTGGAGATCAAAATTGCTCAAGGTGCAAAACCCGGAGAAGGTGGTCAACTTCCAGGGAAAAAAGTTAGTGCTTACATTGCAAGATTAAGGAATTCTAAGCCTGGTGTTCCTCTTATATCTCCTCCTCCACATCATGATATTTATTCAATTGAGGATCTTGCACAGTTGATTTTTGACCTTCATCAGGTATGATTGTTGTAGTTATCATGGTCATCATTTGTCTTTTGATTCCAATTTATACTATTATGTGTTATATGATGTGTTGACTTTGTTTGGCATGTCTTTATGCACTATTAGCAACATTAATTTTTCTATGCCTTTTGTACTTTATAATATATTCTCATTATTTTTACGCTCTCATCGTACTATTGCTTTTTCTAATCTTTATTGTACATACCTAAATTATCCAATTTTTTTACACTGCTATAATCTCTCTAAACTAGTCATTTCTAAGTCCATGTTTCTTAGTTTTTTCATGCATTTATCTTAATACAATTTTTTTTTACTTGCAATACCGTTATGAAAAAGTTTTTTGTTGCCCAATACTCAATGTATTCTAGGTCGTCTAATGATAGTATAATGAATTTGCTATTTCTATTACATTCTCTTTTTGCTAGAATTTCTAAAGTATTTGTTTTTATTTAAACCATCATACTTTATCATTAAAAGTAGGTCATGATCTATATTTTGTCTTTTCTATAATATATTCCAGATACCAAAACATGTCAGTTTATTGCATGACTTGATTTTCCAACAATTTCAATTGATGATCGTCAGTCTTAAGTCTGCCAAAACTGCATAACATGTATTTGGTTGTGTCTAGTAATTGTAAATGCAATTATCTTTGAAAAGTACCTTCATTGGTCTATCTTGTTGCTTACTCTACATGAATATCTCCATTTAAAACTATCATTTAGAAATAGATACTCCAGGACATCACATAGTAACTATGTTTTGTAGGCATCTCCGTAACTTTTTTAATGCGAGGCACTTGTATCTTACTAAAATCATTTATTATTGTTTGCACGTTTTTTCTCTTTCTGACCTGCGAGATTGAAGTTATCTGATACTACTGATTTTGTTTTTAATGGTTCGCAATCTTGAAAACTATTCTCATTCTTTTTGTGCATGCAGGTTAATCCAAAGGCCAAGGTATCTGTGAAGCTTGTAGCAGAAGCCGGGATAGGCACCGTAGCTTCAGGAGTAGCTAAGGCGAATGCTGACATAATACAGGTGCTATCTCATGATCTTTGCGATAACAGAGTTTCTTTAATGCATAATTTATGATTTTCTACTAATTAAGTTTATGTCGCAGTAGCAAAATCTAAAAAGTTACTTGCAGTTTTCCTCAGTTACTGTGCTTGTATTACTTGGCTTAATATTACCACCTCAAGAACATTTTTGTTTTACATTGTCTAAAAGTTGAAGGAACCAAAAGGGATAAAAGAAAAGGAATTAAAAGATTGAAATCCATTATTTTGGTTGGTTGATTGAAAAAAAATATCTTTGATTTTAAGAAATGTTTTATTTCCATCAGATGCCACATTCTTCAGTGTGATATCCCCATAGTTATTGTGGTTCTTGGACCATGCTGACGTTGGCTTTGTCGATGGAGATCTAGTCTGGTGAGAGGCCTAATTAACATTCAGAGGATGATTAGAACAAAGTTTTGGATGCCATTTTCTTGATTTTTTTTTTCGTACTTGTTTTTTTATCATTAAAATGCTTAGAAACTTAAAGGTGCTGAAGGATGTTATTTTTTAGTAAAAAGAGGAATAAATTCTTTTACTGTTCATATTCTTCAGTTTTTTCTAACCATTTATTTACCTTTTTAATAATTCTGTTAGCAAGCTCATTCTTTTGAAGAACTTTGAAAAAAAATAGTCATGCTGCAAATCGCAATCTTTTTGCATGTTCAATAGGGAAACCGCCTCACCAAAAAAAATGGAAATACTTTATAAGACAAACATGACATATTTGTGCATCACATTATGTTGTGCATATTGAAAGCACAATATATAATAATTTTTAACAAAATAATGATACTTTTAATAAAGACAATAAAGCATGTGAATTTAATTAATGACTTAAAATTTATATAAATAAAAAAGAAATATGTTGTATATGCCTAATTCGAAAGCTAAAGGAGGAAGAAACAAATATATAGTGACTAAAGCTAAGAAATAATACATAAATATCAAGGATATATATGAGATTGAAGGCTTGTTGCATTAGAGTTGTGAAGATGAGAGGAAGAAAAGGGAGAGATTGAGAGGCTAAAGTCGTGCTAAGTTAATGGAAATGATTGAGAGGGGGGAAAATGGTGGAAATATTGGAGTTTGAGAAGGGCATAATCAAAAGATTTAGAGTTGGGAGCTAGGTTGATGCGGGCAAACTAGAAAGAAAAGTTAGATAGAAGAACGCTAGGACAAATGAAAACCAAACTCCATTCAATCTAGTATGCAAACATCCAAACAAATGCTAAAACAAACGAAGAGTCGAACAAACGAAACAAAAATTATAACATAAAAATATTATCCTCAGAACAACCGGCAAGCGGTTTCCTCACATGCAACGAAAGTAGGAAAATATAATAAAGTGCTTAGGCTTGCAAACCGAGGGTCCACCACAGCAAAAGGGTCCAACATCCTACCAAACTCCTCCAGCAAATGTCTCCTAAATCAGCCAACAAATATCTCCCAATAGCTCAAGAAGAAGGATACAAGTGGAGTGGATCTTGCGGAGAGAAGCAGAGATTAGAAGCCCAAGACGAAATAGAGGAGAGAAGAGAGAAATGGAATAAGCTCTCAAGCTTTTCCAAGAGAAGAGAAGAAACCCTCAGGTTTTAGCAACTTATCTCAAGTCAATCAACAATCTCCTCAAGACAAAAATACTTCATATTTATAGGAGAGAAAGGGAAGCCAAACAGCCAACTTCTACCTCCAACCAAACCAATCAGGTAAGAGGAAGAGGAAGGGCAGCAGTTTTCACAAAACAACTCTAAAAAATCTGCACAGGAACTGGGTAGGAGAAGCCACTGAAACACAGCCAGGGAGGGACCCGAAAAGCCAACACAGAAACCGGGTTGGAGAAGCCACGGGAAAGCAGCCAGGGGGAAAACCGAAAAGGCAACCAGCACCCAACATTATTCCATGCGAACAACACAAAGAAGAAACCGAAGAAACACAAGAAGGGAAAGAAACAAGCTCCACTCCACATACCTTTTCACATTTATTAGCTAAGAAGTGCAATTAATCCACCACATAATGAGCTAAACATCAGCTCAAGCATTAATGAGCTAGCACCAAGTAGAACCCAATTTTTTTTAGTTCAAAATCAAGCAGTCAAAGCTCAACCCGAGAGTAGCCAAGGCCCAAACCGAAAGATAGCAAGCAGTCCAAAGGACAAAAGGACCCAAATGCTAGCAAACCCAAGCCTTGCCATGCCCAAGCACATCCTACCATGATCATTGGATGTTCTCCATCATTGGATAGCTTAAAAAAACATAAAACACAACTAATAATGTTCAAATTACATCAAAACAAAATAAGCCAAAATATAAATGCATCATAGGTTGATCGTGATATTTGCATTTACATGAATGAAAAATACATTTATTCACTTCGGATGAACCAAAAATTGAATTAATTGATAAATAGTTGAATCACTAGGGTACCCGATTATTTTTTAAAGCATATTCAAGGTCATAGCTAAGGTGTGCATTGAATGCTCTGCTTTATAGTGAAGTGCTAGAACATGCACGCTTTGCATGGCTAGAGTGTGTTGCAACTTAATGAAGTACTTTTGAAAACAATAGACATTCTCTTATAGAGATGGAGAGGTAGAGATGAACTTTTCTTTTAATAAAAGGATAACGGTCATTCTATTTTGTTTTTGCATGTACTAATCTGCAAACACAAAACATTTTTTGAACTTGGCCTGGGAGCTTGGAGTTATTAAATGAGATAGATGGTTGAGCGAAAGGTCTAAGCTTCTGAATGGAGTCTAAGATGAACATGCCATTTATATAATTTAAAACCACTGAAATAATTTTTTTCATAAATGATTTCCAATATCATCAAAGTGTATAGTTGACATCTTGATATTGTATAGTTGACATTTTAATAAACCTTTAAAAGAAAAGCATCTAAACTTCTATATACATAAAACAGAATTATGCGAGCACCTAATATTAGCTACTTCACTCCTATTATAAACAAAATCCGTTCTTTCATCCATTTACCCCACAAGAGAGATACATACTCAGTGGGTATATCTCAGTTTTAAACCATAGTAACTCAAATAAACAAGAAGCAATATATATGCTAATCATCAAATTTAAATGGTAAATCATAAAATTATTTTTTCAAGAATAATTATGACCATAAACATTACTCAGTAGTAAGGGTTATATACATTTGTGGAGTCATGTTACTCTATTTGGCATTAAGTGCTTAAATATGTACTGAGCTATTTATGTCATAACTTGAGTCTATACCTAATAGATTCATCTTAGGAGCATTGTCTATAAAGCGAACTAAGCTCTAGCTGATATATATCTCGCCAGCACAATGGGGCATAGCTCGTGCTTTTTATTAGAATCGGAAAGACACTATAATTTTGATGGGGACATCAGAGCATGGAAAGTATATTAGAGGTGTGGCCGTCGATCTGTGGCCACGATCGAGTCGATGTATTTTTGAGTCATTTCATATATTTGTTTTATTATGTTATTTGTTATTTATGTTGTATTTGCTTTTCCCCTTAAGGGAGGTCGTATATAAGCCCTAAGGGCAATGTCATATTTTATCTTTGAGTCCTTTTTAGGGCTGTCAATATTGGACCCGACCCGAAAACCCGACCCAAAAATTTCGGGTTTGGGTTGACCCGAACCCAAAGCGGGTCGGGTTCGGGTCCGGAAAATCGACCCGTTTGCAAAATCGGGTCGGGTTCGGGTTGACCCGGAATCGGCTCTGCCCGGCTGCCCCACTCTGCCCCGCTCTATCCGACTCTACCCGGCTGCCCCGCTCCCCGGCTGCCCGACAGCCCGCATCGAGGCATCGAGCCCCACGCCGCGTGGGCCACGCGTGACCTCTCGGTTCGCTCCGTTCGCTCGCTAGTCGCATCGGGCCCGCTGCACTGCCGCCGCTGCTGGCCTACCTCTGCACCGCGCAGGAGCTCGAAAAATCAAATCGAATTGGGTCGAGTCGAGTTGACCCGAACCCGAAGCGGGTCGGGTCCGGAAAATCGACCCGTTTGTGAAAAGGGTCGGGTTGACCCGAACCCGAATAGTGCCGTGTAAATTTCGGGTTCGACTCAAACCTGACCCGTGACCCGAAATTGACAGCCGTAGTCCTTTTGTACAAGGCTATTTATAGTCCTTATGTTCTCTTCTAAAGTTAATGAATGAATGATGAAAATTTTCTTCCCCTTGTTTGAGTTCTCATGAGAGATTGGTGCGAGGTCCCATGGAGAGGGAATTTGGATCGCCCACCAACATTGGAGACAGCCGGGTTCGCGGTTCTTCTTCGTATCTAGTTTCCCCTTTTCCCTTAATCACTTAGCCACCGGCCACCTAACCCACTTCCCCACCCAAAGTCGTTAGCCATCATAGCCTCCTCGCTTCACTCCGCTGAAACTTCCCACTAAGACCCACCATGCCGCCGGCCCTATTTCCTCCTCTTCTCCTTCCTCCTCTTCTCCTGCATCCTTTCTTTCATTGATTCCTTTCCTATTTGGTTTGGTTATTTAGGTAACTCAATAACTTGTTAAATTCAAATTCATTTGAATTTAAAAAGTTACCTAAAATATCATTCATATTTTAGAAAACTTTTCAAATCCTTGCCTATTTAATTAAAATTAAATTAGGATGAAATATTTCATCCTAAATTTAATTCCATAACTTAAGGAAGCATTAAAAGCCTCCCCCCCCCCCCTTTGAAGTAAATTTGGATTTGTTTCCTAAAGTCCACCTCCTTCTTAGAAACAATTCAAACTTCTCCACCTCCTTGGCCGAAAATCCCTAGCCCCGCTTATTTGATTTATTTCCAAAGGAGAAGCTCTCCTTTTGGAAATACATTAAAGCCTCCACCACCCCTCATATCGCTGGCCCTCTTTCCTAACCGCCCCTCTTTCTTTCAAATTTCTCTCCCCCACATTAAATCCTTTCCCCTTTGCATCCTAAGCACGATTCTCCACAAAGAATTTTATCAAGGGATTTCCTTCACCTTTTCTCCATCATTTGAAGGCTTGAAAGAACTTTCTCTTTCAAGAAGAAATTCTTGAGGAAGACAAAAGAAAAG